GCCGCCTCCCGCCCCGCCATGCCGGGCCGGGAAAGAGCTGCAGCCGCCATCGCGGGCCGCGCACACGGGGACTAGGGGCCGCAGTACCTGAGAAACCAGGGGCAGCAGCGTCTGCTCCACCGAGCGCGTTCTGATCTCCAGTCCCGAGTCGAAGGCGAAGCCAGACGCGTTGCAGGAGTGGACAGCTCCCGCACCGCCGCCGCCGGCGGGAATCGGAGAAGCGGCCATAGCCCTCCACCGGTCGTAGCGCCCGCTCTCCGCACCAGTGCGGGCCCGCCAACCAGCCCGCCGGTCGCCTGCCGCCTCGCTGCACCGAGGCCCCACCCCTAGCCTTGTGCCACCACCTCGGCCCCGCCTCCACGCGACCCCAGGCCCGATAGCCACGCCCCTAGGCAGCACCACCGCCTCGGCCCCGCCCCCAAGGCCACCCCACCCTTGTTAGCTCCGCCCTCAGCTCTGCCCCTCGGTCACGCCCACCTATCCCCTAGTATGGAGCGCCGCAGTTGGGAGTCATCAGCCCCGCCTCTAGGGCGGCACGCCTCCTCCTAGCTCCACCCCAATCCCTGGGAGCCCCACCCACCCGCTGCTATTGCCCCACCCCTCGGGCTCCGCTCTCTGCAGGCCCGCCCCTTAGGCCGCAGCAGTGCCTCTTTCCTCTGGGGTGTGTGCCAAAATGTATTTTACCCAAAGCAGGAGAAACAAGACACCTGAGAGCCTCCCCACGTTCACAGGGCTTCTTACCAGAAGACAACTGTCCTCAGCAGAGGTGACGCCAAATCCATTTGCCTTAAAAGTCAAAAAATCATACATATTTCTACAAGTTTTGATGGGGTTGAAAATGGTAGGGAATCTCTGCCCTGAGAAGGCAATTATACTTGTAATTATCTTTTCATGGCTTCCCAGGAAGGTCCACCCCATTTCCCGTTCACTCCTATTTTCTGATTATATATCTCTGACACGGAGTTGAAACATTTGATAATACATTCACATAAGTATCCTGCTATTCAGCAAGAAGTTAGTGGGTCTTGCAGGCGGTATCTTTAGAATTCACCTTCAAGAGAATTAAAAAGTTGTATGCACTGATAAATACTGCTTAAAACTACTTTTTACAATTATTTTTAACATTAGCCAAGAACTAGCAGTGTATTAACTGCTCCTTAAAACATTGTGTCTATTTCTGACTGAAGTCACTTAAGGCTAAGAATCCATTCGCTCAGCCCAACCATGAGCTCATACAGAACTCCTGTGAAGAGGGATCGCCAGCACTTTTTCCTCCAGGAGCAAAGCCAAGGAAGGCTTTCAGAAGTCTGCACCTTAGGGAGGATTCTAGACTTAAGCAACTGAGAAGCATAAGAAAGTATTTTTGAAGGACCATAGCTGCTAACGAGCACCTACCGAGGCAAAACGCAATCTGAGACTGGCTTTCTCCATCCATCAAGTTAGACTGATGGGCTCAACTTCCAGTGTTGAAAGCAAAGTTGCAGGGCTCAGCTTTAACTGCCAAAGCTGCGTGAGCATCTGGTAATGGAGATAGCAAAGCTTAAGCTTCTTGGCTCTTAGAAAGAAGAGCTCCTGCGGGGTGGTGGTAGCTGAGGCAGGCCTTTAATCCCAGCACTTGGGAGGTAGAGGCCAGAGGATCTCTGTGAGTTCAAGGCCAGCCTGGTCTACAAAGAGAGGTCCAGGACAGTTACACAGAGAAATTATGGGGGAGGAGGGGGAGTTTAAAAAAGAAGCGCTCCTGAATTCAACTCCTCCAATTGTGCCCAATATGGGTGTTAGGAATCCAACTTGGGTCCTCTGGAAGAGCCAACTCTCTAGGCCCCTTTAACTTCAACCACCACGCTCCCACTTTTTACAAGGCTGCCTCTCTCCAAAGCACTCAGCCTCAGCTGTGGACCCTTCAGCCTCAGCTATGAACCCTTTGGCTTCTTTAAGAAGCAAACACAGGCTCCCCGGACAGTTTCCCTCTATAAGATGACCAAACTGAACAAAAATACTGGCACCAGTATGAATCCTGGTGCCAAAGGTAGGATATGCAGGGCAAGTCTGGATAAAGAACAAATTTCTCAAAATAAATAAATAAAGAAAAAATAAGAGGCTGTTTACCACCTGTTTCATCCAACATTTGTGACTTTATTTCAAAATATAAATATTTTACATTTTACAAAGATGTTACATCAGTAACTTGTGAAAGCAAATTAAAGCTAAGAAACAGTGTTTGTGTAATAAAGGATATTTACTGCTGCATTTGAATGCTATTTTTCCTGTCAAACCATTTCTCTCCTTCACCTGAGAATGCAGAGGCGATACATTTTCAGAGTTAAATAATTACGATATGTTTAATCTTAGTTTCACAATCAAACAGTATTTGAAGTACAATCCAAGTACCTGAACAAGTAACACTGCCAAGGACAAAGAAGGGTTTTCTCTAGGACAGCTACAGCAAGAGTTACTTCTGGGTCACTCCAATAACCAAAGCATTTATATTTCACAATAAACAAAATCACGGTTGGATCTGTTTCCATACCTTTCATTGTATAAAGCTAGAAGGAAAGACCAGAGAAAGAACTTTGGACTTGGAGTCAGAGACTCTATAACCAAATCCTGACTCCATCCTTTTGTGATCTAAACTTAAGGAAGAGGAGGGGAAGAGAAGGGGGAGGAGAAGGGAGAAGAGAAGGAGTCAACAACAAACTTCTCAAGAGTTTCCAGTGCCTCATCTGTACAATGACTGTAATACTGTCTGGCTCACAGGGCTGAACCCAAAGGTGCCGGAAAATTATAAAGTGCCATACAAAAGCATTGCTAAGATGCAGCAACAGCATCACCAGTGTATCTGCACACTGAATGATTCTTGGATACCTTGGATAATGATTTTGTGTGCCTCAGGTGGGAAAGAACATCCTCCCTGCTAGTACAGCTCTGGGCAGCAATGTGCCTTCTCTCTGGTGTCTCACCAGACTGCTAGGACTTGTGGCCTTCCCCTGGCACCACGGTAACACGGGCACTGCCAGTATTCTCACTCGTAGTCGTCTTCTACAAGACCTGCAAACTTGATCAAAGGAACCTTGGTCTTCTGAGATGCTCAGAGGAAGGTGGGGGACAGGAGCACGACAGACAGTGACAGTCTGTCCCTCCTGAGTTCTCAATGTGCCATGGCATACCTAACTCAGACATCCCAGGGAGAGGAAGTAACTTAGCATTGCTGAATTTTAATTGCCTGTGGAATCTCCCCTCTCCCAGCAATTTTTCTCTTACAACTCTAGTCATTCTGTAAATGACTGCTATACAGAACTTCTTTCTTTGACAAAAGTGGTTGAGCTATGAGGAAAAGGGAAGAGAAGCAGAAGGTGAGCTGAGAGCAAGCACATCTGCACTCCACTCTGAATTCCATTGCTACCTGGCTCTGTGCCATAACTCACTTACCCACAAACCTGTTTCCTTCTCTAAAACGACCTCATCATCTCATTACAACAGCCCATTCAAGTACCACACTTCTGCGGCTGCCAAGGATCCTCACCTACAATTCTCTTATGTGGTTTTAAGTTGTCAAGAAAGCTACTCAATGGCTTCAGATAGGTGTTTTCCCAAACCTTAGTGAGTTAATGAAACGAACACATTTGGTGGCAAAATTAGCAGACAAGAAACTGATAAAAATAAATAAATAAATAGAAAATAAATAGTAGTTGTTCTCTGCAGGAACTAGAATTTGGAAGTATGCTGCCATAAACAATTTTCACTGTGAAGAGGGCCCTCAAAGTCACACTGTGATACTCTTGGAAAGGCTGTGGGAGACCCTCAGAACATACTGGAAGGTCAGGACCGAAGTATGGGAAGTCCTGAAGGTATTCCTCACAAACTAGGTTAAGATCTCTAGATAGTCACCTACATGACTGTATTCTAGTCTAAGCCTGATCAGCCTTGCGTTCCCAGCATTTCTAGCCATACTTCTGAAACAGGCATCTAAGCAAAGTGGGAAGTAGAGAAATGCAGAAGTCCTGAAAAAGCATGGTGAGGTTAGCCAGAAGAGCAGCCCTGCAAGTCCTTTTCCGCCTGTACACTGGTCTAAGCAGTTGAGCCAGAGTCTGGACACAGGGTCTCCACACAGCACATCTTGGGCACCTTTCCACAGTCAAGAGCCAACCCAGACTCATCTCAGAGCCCAAAGGACAGCAGCCAGCTCTTGGGGAATATGGGTTAGAGACTCACCGTTTTACTACCTAACACTGGCAGCCAAAGAAGCCCATAGATCACATAAAAATAAGACTGTGGGATTCAGGCAGGAGGTATATCATATGCAATCTATGCTTCCAGCCCTGCACCTGTTCTCTCACAATCAGGAGCAGATGGGTGCACACAGCTTCTCAGCTCCCTTTTGTACCCACTCACTTTAAAACTGTCAGAGAATAGGAACTTGAAACTAGCCCTTACTATATCTGTAGAATCCAGGATGCTATGACGGAGTTCTGTCCTCGGTTTCACTGAAGCTACTTTTGCCTCATGGATGCATTCTATAAGCACACACACATAAATAGACACACTGCATTCTATACACAAACACACACACACACACACAAAATGCCAGGCATAGATACCCTCTCTGTTCCTAGAGGAACATCTTCCCAGAACAAATTCCCATGCAAACTCTTCAGGGCAGGTTAGAGACTTAAGCTAAAAACTCCCACCTTGTCATGCTACCTGCTCTCTATCTATCCTACAAAAATTCTGTAAAACCTCTTCCCTGTGCGTAACACAGGCCAGGGCGCTTTTCTAGTTCCAACCTCCCCAACTGGTGGCCTTCCTGAATTCACTGTAGCAATGGAGAGTTTGAGTGTCCTGATTAGGACGGTGTGCCACTACAGGGACCTCTACCCCTAAAATTCCAGTGCGGGCTTAGGCTACTGCTGCTAATCTAGGAAGCTCAGAATTTCCCTCAAACAACTTCACACAGATTGAGAATTACCCTACCAACAGCTATAAATTAGCTCAAACTTAGGTTTTCGCAATTTTGCTCTTACATGACTTAAAAGCACACTGGAGCAACGTAATTTGTATATGCACACAAACCACTGTGTTTATTTGCCTTCTGTGAGTATGTGCTAATTATAGCTATAAACTTATCAAGTTATACTAAACAAACAGAAACTTGGTTTCTCTCTTCAGCCATTTTAATACAAGAATTTCAGATTGAGAATGATGCATGATCTGTCTGGCACTGAAGGTGAGGACAGCTGCTTCAGGATCTATCTCCCAGAACACCCTGCACAGTCCCTGGCAGAGCCTAGACTTTACTAACACTCAAGAAACGTGTTAATGAGCAAATGAGCAACTGATTAAAGAAGAGTAAGTCATTTAGTGGTCAAATCTAACAGGTAATGGAATAACAGGTCATAAATATTAAAGGATTCACGATACAACCAGGAGACCTGCATGTGCTATGCTATTCATGGCCAAGTCAGGACACTGTAGTATGTGGGGTGTATTATTTGTGACATAAATAAAGTTATAAACTTAGATGTTTTAGAAAAAAAAAATTTTAGTCTTAAATGCTTTAAAAAAAAAATCTTAAGCACAAATCCCTTTTGCTCCCTATTCTTTCGGGGCATGGGCAGGGCACGGGGCAGGGCTGGTGGCTTAAGAGCTAGGAAGGGCACCGCACTAGGAGCTGGCTCTCCTGGCCATGTCATGAAACAGGACAAGCTTTCTTTCACTTGTAAGGAATGAAGGGCAACACCTGGGTCACAGGACTGGGAAACTGCTAAAGTCCTAAGAAAGCTTTGTGACAGAGTTTGCAGATGTGAAGTCAGAAGACGGGAGACCAAGTCCTATAACACTTGGTGGCTCTATATTGGCCACTGTCCTGAAGCTTAGCACCCCCTCCAGTGTGACACTGCTGAATGCAAAGCTGAGTGAGATGATGGGAAATGCATGTGAAGTTCTATGCACAAGGGCTGCAAAAGGAAAGTACTATGCTGGTTATGTCATATCTGAGATAGGTAGAAAGTTACAGTCCAACTCAGCAAGCATTCATCCAGAGTCACATCTGCAAGGCACTGAGCTAAGTGACCGTAAACATAAAATTCTGCTGCTAAGTAACTTACTGATGGAGTTCCAGGTCAAGAACTGGGGGCACACATAACAAACCAGAGGACCACTCCACCCGAGCATCTCTGCTTGTGAAGCAGTTAGAAGAAAGCTGACAGCAGGGAGTCCACCACATCGTTAGTATTCATTCATGGCAGCTCCAGATCCAATGTGGTCGGGAACGTTGTAGAAATTTGGCAATACTGAAAGGAGGGGCAAAGGGGAAGAGGGGAGGAAGAGCCCCACTCTTACTGCTTCTCTTCTGGTCACAGCACACACACCCCAGCTTTACCCCGAAGACTTCTTTCTTCTCCAAGGAGGGGATGATGTTATTCTAAAAGGGTATCAGACACACTTTCCCTGCTTACTAAGCCATTCAAAAAAGTAAAAGCCTCGTCACTGAAAAGGGGCTAAGCGCTCCTAACACAGGAGGAAAACTATAGTGAATATACTTTTAACAGCAGGTACTTCAGAACCCTTAAGGTGACTTTATAAGTGCGCACTGCAGTAGACAATCGAGAGGGCAGCTTCAAGCCTTGGTACCAGTGCATGAACTGAAACTTTTCAAGCCATCTTAGCATGAGTTGTGAGCAAACAGAGCTTTCAACTCAAGCTGTGTTTAAAATGCAAAGCAGCCTAGAGCAAGTCCACTCTCACTTTGTGTTCTGTGTGTAAGGCTGGGAGGCTTCTGCTTCTTTTCTGGGTGCCCCTGCCTGCCAGACACAGCTGATAGAACAGAGGCCACAAGTGGGAGAATTCACTGTCGAGGCGGACCTCCCCAGAGAAGTCACGCAGCAAAGCCATGTCAATCTACTCAAGATTTCAGATCTTCAGAGATGTCACGGAAAGGCCTAAAAAAGAAGACAGAAGGGTCAGTTTTGCTTTGGAAAGGGGCAGTGATAGTAAAACCACAAAGAGAAAAATTAGAAGTAAGGAGGGAGGGGCAAGCCCAGAACCAGCTACCATACAGCATTACATTATTTTATAACCTTTAAGAGGGTGGAAGAGAGTCCAGTCACTGATTTTAGTATTTTCACAAGATTGTTTCAAAATCTACTAGTGAGCCCGTATTCTTTACAAACAAAAGCCCAGTTTAGGGCTGAGTCCATTATCCTTTATCCAAAAGACTTCCCCAGACTTACTGAACCACATATGGCTATGTGACTAAATTTTGGCTAACAGGATGTTCAGAGAAGTGTTATGCAACTTTAGGCAGTGGTTTGGCTCTTAGAGCTTCTAACTAGCTGGAAAATACACATGATGATATTAGAGAGATTAAGTTGCAGACTGGATTAACTGCTGAGTGACTAGCCTCCTGTTAGGAAGTAGGAGCCCTGGAGCAGCACAGAACCCAAGCCATGCAGGGCAGAGCTCCAGGCAGATGTGGGACAGCATTTTTACCACCTTCTACTATTGCTATCCTACATCGGACAAGCTAAGTGAACACTGCCAAGTGTCAGCTGGTATCTGGACTGGGTAGAAAGGTGTGCTGAACAACGGTTTCTACTTTAGGACAGTGATGGCTAAACAGTCCTTGATATGACTGACTGGCCTGAGTCATAATGTCACCACACAAAGCTGAGGTGCTTACAGACAGTCAGATGGGCAGGGCAGAGCTCATCAATGGACACGAGCTCCAGTATCCACCTCAGAAAGCCACAAATCAAGGCTGGCACAGCTTTCTGATGGAGAGAGGCTGGGCTTGGGCATTTGTTTAACACATTAGACCTGGAAGGACCCTCTGGACTTCTTTTTTTTAAAAAAAAAAATCTTCCATCTTCTTTAAGTTGTTTTGAGATCAGCTGGAGATGGGTAAGAGGGTTTTTATTATTGGCATTGTTCCTGTTGAGGCAAACTTACCTGAAGTGAGATATATATGAACAGTTTATTAGCGACCATCTAGAGAGAAACCATACCACTTCTCCTTAGCAGAATCACCAGGGAGGAAGACAAAAGACATCAGACCCTAAAACACTGGCGATTTTCAACCAGTGTTGAAATTTGAGAGCTTTGAGTGCATGTATGTAGATGCCTCATGTGCATGTCTGGTGTCCAAAAGAGAGCATCCAATTCCCAAGAACTAGGGTTCTAGATGGCTGTGGGTAACCATATGGACCTAAAAAGAAGGTCCTCTACAAGAACAACAAGTATTCTTAACTACTATATCATCTCTCCAGGCCCTCAAGAGCAATTTCCAAGTTACATTTAGCCTCTGACCATATAAACAGAGCATGTTATAGCACTGTTCCTTTTTAGATCACTTTCCTCAAAGTCAAGTAAAGTTAATTTTGTTTTTATAGCAAATCAGCCATCAGTTATCACGAAGCGCTCAGCATTTTCATTAGAAACAGAACTAAAAGACAACACAGGCTTAAGTGTGCTAAGAGCAGGCAACAGTGTGAACAAACCACGCACAGCACAAGGTTTTTTCCTTAACAGCCTAAAAAGCAAATTTAACTTCAAAAGCAGTTCCACAATCCTGCAACCTCCTTCTCGACTCCTTTAGCTTTAAGCATTTTCAGTCAACACAGACACACAGGATTTGGTAGAGTAGGAATAAACTGAAGTCTAACCTGCTAGTACAAAGCACGAAGTCCTTCAAGGTCAAGAGGAACACAAGCAATGTTGCAGAAGATGCTCAGCTGTCTCGAGGCTCTCTCAAAAATGGTGAGTGACCTAAGCCTCCCGCCCTCAGAACATGAGAACTATAGAGCCCAAGGCTTTGAAAGAGTTTTCATGTTGTATGACTAAATCCACCACGAATACAAAGACACAGTGACAGACTGAACACTGCAACAAAAGTCTCCTTAAATACTTCTGTTCACATCTTTTAAAGCGTCAAACAACAAAGATTTACATCCACCTATATATTGATCATTTAGCAACAGTGATACTGCCCATATTTCTGTGTACTGTATTTGGCAGATCCCCAGGCTCTATTCAGTAGAGTCCTAACAATGCATGTGTGCATGGGGTGGGGGATGGATTCCCCTCCACTGCCAGAAGCATTGCTGCAAATAGCAACTTATGTAACTATTTCTCAGAGTGTTGTACAAGTTTGTGTTTTCAAATTTGAAGAAAGATAAAGTCAGCTGAAAGCTTTCTCCAACAAATAGGGAATCGGGTAGTAATTTTGAAAAACCCCAAAAACGTTTTTACAACTAATAATCTATAAGCATTTCTAAAATCCTATAGATTAATTTATCCTTTGACATTTTTAAAAGTTTTAAAGAAATCTGTAGGTTTGAATGAAACATAACTGATCATTTCATTTATGAATTAAAAGTCTGCCTGAAGGACAAAGATGTACAAAATAAAATTAACACTATGGTTGACTGTGGTTAGCCTGGTGATTTGCTATTCAATGATGCCTCCTGGCCAAGAAAAGGAGGAGCTTCGCAATGGTCACTCTGTTCTGGGACACAGAGCATTTAGGGCAAACAAAGACAAAGACATTAGCTGAAACAGGTCAGCTTGCATGCTTGGAACTATGTGACCAAAGGGCAACTTAAACCTCTAAACGTCTTCATCAAAGCACGATGGGAAGCACTAATGGGTTCAGAACAGAACATCTGCAGAGCCAGGCCTTTAATCCCAGAACTCAGGAGGTGGAGACAGGTGGATCTTAGTGAGTTCCAGGCCAACTGGGGCTACATAGAGAGACCTTGCCTCAAAAACAAAAACAAAACCAAACAAACAAACAAAAAAAACATACAAAGTTTTTATCATGGGATTCAGCACACAGTAAGTTTCAATAAACGTTACAAGTGTCACGTGTGCTACTACTTAAACAGCCATTTAAAACTGCACACTACAGGAGCAGTGCATCTAACACTGAATGTCAGTACAAGCACCCATTAACAGCCAGGAATTGGTGGGGAAAATCCAACAGGCAACCACTGGGACTTGGCCAGCCCTGAAAAACAGAAATTCCAGGCCAGTAGTAGAAAGAGCCTAAAACAACCTGAATTCACCCAGGAAAATCCCCTATAAGGCTCAGAACACGAGCTAACTATGAGAGGAGGGTGGAGCTAAGCAACGAATCGCTGCCCATCTGCTAAGAAAGTCTAAGACACTACCTTGCCCACCAGCGTCCCCATCAACTTTCACACCAAGCAGCTGTCCCTTCTTCCCTACTCCTTGGCAGGAATTAATTTCTTCTCTCTGGAGACAGGAAAGTTTTTGGATTAGGAACAACAGGGAGAGACGCAAGTGAGCTATGTACTAGCACAGGGTTCCAAGCCTACAGCAGATCTCTGCATCAACAATGCATCGGCCCTTCTCTGCTCCTAGCTGCAGCTGGGCTTGCTACCTCCAACCAGAGCTGAAGATCTGTGAGGAATCAATTACCCCACAAAAGAGACCAAAAATCACAGCCATCGGGGCTGGAGAGATGGCTCAGAGGTTAAGAGCATTGCCTGCTCTTCCAAAGGTCCTGAGTTCAAATCCCAGCAACCACATGGTGGCTCACAACCATCTGTGATGAGGTCAGGTACCCTCTTCTTGCCTCCAGGCATACACACAGACAGAATATTGTATACATAGTAAATAAATAAATATTTTTAAAAAAATCACAGCCATTGAAGGCTGCACAGGCAATGGACTTGTCACGTAGGTCATGCCCTTAATACCGCTGCGACAACTTCATTGTCTCACTTTTAACATGAGCCAAAACCCAAACACCTTCATTACCTGATACCATTTGCACAGGGAAAAGTCAAAGCTCTGTTTTTCACAATAAGCACAGTAAGACCTGTCCACAGCATGAAGAAAACAGCAGTGGCTATCTATGGACCCCTGCATCTTCTTTCCCAGAACTCCCTACTTGATGATACAACATCCGACTTCCAGGAGAAGAAAAACAGCACTCTTGTCTCTACACTGGTTTCTGCTGTTTTATCTTAAAATAACTCTTGCTTTGTATATTAAAACTAATTAGATGATCCGCTCAAAAAATAACAGCAAAACATTAACAAAATCTGAGATTCTCCCTCTGGTGCTCTGAAGAAGCTTCCCCCTTCACTAGGCAGGCATCCACTATAGCACCTGCTATTAAGTGAGAAAGCAAAGTGATGTGGTAGGACACACCACACTCAGGAATCAGTGGGGCTGGGAGCCACAATGTGACTTCCTCTAGAAAAACAAGGAGAGGGAAAAGGAGGGGAGAGGAAGAGAGGAGAGGGGAAGGGAAGGGAGAGGAAGAGAGGAGAGGGGAAGGGAGGGGAAGAGAAGGTCTGGTTCTAGCGTTGGCAGCCCCAGTTGCTGAGTCTTTTGTCAGTCCCCTAGTTCTCTGTGTTCTACTCTTTTTGAGGAAACTGACTTTTCTCAGCCATCATTAAAAGGGTGCATTAAATGAGGGTGTAGTGACGCATGCCTTTAACCCTACCTAGCTAGCATTTGGAGGTAGAGGCAGGTGAATCTCTGAATTCCAGGCCAGCCAGGGCTACACAGTGACATAGAGATCCTGTCTCCAAACAAATAACAATTAAAAAAAAAACCTCAAAACAAAACAAAAGTATTAGTTCCAATAGGCTTCTGAGGAGCCAGTATGTTCAATTCAAGAGATACAAAATTTAACAGGACCACACTTTAAAAGGATTTTACACAGTAATATTAAAGTGTAAGTGGACTGTCGGAACCGACATGTCACTTGGAGGACACTAGAATATACAACAACACAGAAAGCGGTGCTTCCCCACTGAAGACAAGCTGGAAAACATAATGAAATGTCTAGAAGTTTTAAAATTTTTATTCTCAAGCTGTTGCTAGGCTGTACAGGCGCAAACTTTACACAGAAAGTCCATTTGATTCTGGAACAGTGTTACTAGGCTGCCTAAGCCGCTATCAGAGCGCTGGAACTGATAATCTGCCCGCCTCTGCCTCCCAAACGCTGAGGTCACAGGCACGAGCCAACGCACCTGCTTACTTTCCAAGTTTTCAACACTAAACCTGATACACAGTAGACACTCCACTTCTAGGTACACAAGCAAGTGAAATACAATTCACAACCACCAGGATGTCCTTGCCAGATAACTAACAGAATCCTGTCTTTTAACAGCCATAAAATGACAGCTATCTAATGCCTTTCAATACCACACTGAAAAACGAGACTGGTATATTCATACACCAGAATGTCAGACAACAATGAAAAAGAGTGAAAGAAAATACAATGATTGGTGTGTAATACAGGTAGAAACACTGACCAAACAAGGTCCGCCTCAAGAGCAGTACACAGTACACTTTAGACAGACTGTGTTCAAAACCATTCTGAAGTGACTACAGTCAGACTATCAATAAGCCGAATATCTGATATCAAGAATGCATTGGAAAACCTGAGGACTGATGGAACTATGTTGCATGGCTAACGAGTGCTCAGAGACCTTTACCCTGATGAGTCTAGATGCAGGTCATCCACTGAAAACAGAGATAGGGCAGTCTACGTCTACATGTGGTTGCCATCATGCTGCTGAACTCACCTCTGAGTCTGAGCAGGCCAAGGTGTCTGATTTGGTGTGGGCACTGAATTCGTAGGACTCACTAGCATGGCACTGTAGATATTGGAAGCAACCACAAGTATGCAGAGCAGTATGGGTCCAATGATCGCTCCTTCCAGGCCCAGGTAGTATGCTCCGCCAGCCACTGCTAAGCCAGTCAGGTAAGGATGGCCTCCTCTGGAACAAAGAACACACCAGCTGTGGAGTAAATCCCAAGCACTCTCTAATACAATGTCAGTTCTCTGCTACTTCAGGCTTTATTGCACTACTAGCTTTCTTCGGATTACGTCAATGCAGAATCAACAACAGTGTATAATATTGAGAAACAAGGATTTTCTTCGTATGTAGCAATGAGTGACACCTGCCTTTTTTTACAGGCAGGACTCGCTGTCATCAGATAGTCTGTACATTCGACATGGCTTCCTGAAGATTTCTGTTGGCTGAAGACTGGTTACCTAAGATGTCCACTAGGTTACTTCCTTTAAGTACAACAGTGAGCATAATTCAGCATGCATTCAATTAACTATGGCTTCTTTAATAAAACATAATTATAGCTGTAAAAATAGTAACATCAATATGCCTATTCTCAGTTTAGACCTTTAGCAACCTTCTAAAACACGGTTACCACAGGTGTAATAAAGGGCCACATAAGGAAGACATCTGTCAACAAAGCCCAAGACTTTTATTTCCCAGGAGTCATAACTGTCTGAAGCTTATCACGGCATCGCTGGCACGATGGGATGGAGCGAGCCAGATACAGCAGCACAGTACAGATAAGCCCTGACCACTGACGCAAGAGGGATGAAGAACTGGTCACGATCTGTTTGTTTCGAGTTTTTAAATAACACAAATGAGTGGAACATTTTAATGAGGGTAAATAATTAAATACGTAGGAAGGATGTTTGATAATATATTACAGTTTACAAACACATACTGTGGTCAGCCAGCCTTCAGGAAACAAAAGCATGATGTTCATAATTTAGCTCTCTTCCTTCTTTTAAAAAGAGATTCATAGCAGTGGCCCACATAGGTCAAGTAGACTTCCCCTACCAATATGTTTGAAGAAAATTGTTATCGGACATTCTTAAGGCTTAGAGTGGGGGAAGGAGGATTTTTAAATAAAAACTTAATTAAAAATATAATTTAGGGCTGGAGAGATGGCTCAGCAGTTAAGAGCACTGGCTGCTCTTCCAGAGGCCCCAGGTTCAATTCCCAACACCCACATGACAGTTCACAACTGTCTGTAACTCCAAGATCTGACACCCTCACACAGATATATATTCAGGCAAAACACCAATGCACAAAAATAACAAATAAATTACTAAATACATATGTAATTTATACTTAACTTTTCATTCCCTAATAATACTGATCAAATATTTATGAGAATATCACATACAAATCTTAAATTATAACTATAACCCTTAATATAAACAATTTACAACAAAGTTTAAATACATGGAGCATAGGTATAAATCAAATTGTTAGATCTCATTTTTAAAACCACAGTACTGGCTCTATGGTTGGCTGTTTTGAGGCAGGGTGTCATCCAGTTGCCCTAACTCACCTGCAGCTTGCAATGTAAAACAAATGGCTTTGAACTTTTGATTATTTTCCTGCCTATGCCTCTCAAATGCTGGGATTACAACTGTGCACCACTAAGCCAGGCTTTGTTTCTGTTGGATTTGTTTTTGGTTTTTGTTTCAGTTTTTACATTCATGTGTGTGTGTGCGTGTGTGTGTGTTGTACGACTGCATGCGAGAAGAGGAACTTGGATGCCCTAGAACTGCAGATACAGTTGTGAGCTGCCCAATGTAGGTGCTGGGAAACAAACTCCAGTTCCTTGGAAGAAGAATACACAGTCTTATCCATGGAGCCAATTCTACAGCTCCAGGCTCTGTTTTTGATGCTGAGACAGGATCTTGCTATGTAGCTCAAGAGGGCCTCCAAGTGGCAATTGTCTTGATTCTGATTCCTGAACTCTAGGATCACAGACCCTGGCTGATACTTTTGGCAATTTTACTTTTCCTCTCAAGCTGTAGGCATATAAATTCCTCATAGGAAGGGTTGTGAGTTTTCTGTTTCATTTCACTCTGGTTCAATTGGGGGGGGGGGGGGGCTTCTACACTGCTCTACATTAATTTCCAACTTTAATTGATTTAAGAAGAAAGAAGTCATCATACAACTTAATTTCAGAAAACTTAAAATAACTGAAGACAGCTGTTTCTAGAAGCTGAGGCCCTGTCCAGTTGGCTTTTAAGTTTTGTTCTTGAGACAGAGTGTCACTATGTAGCCCTGGATTACAAATTGAGAGATCTATCTGAGCTACACAGTGAGCTCCTTTGTCCAAACAATAATCACTATAAGAATGAAGATAATAAATGAATTAGCTGTTTTGGGTGGGTTTCACAGGCCATATTCTGAATTTTAAGTCAGAATGATGAAAATCCACTTGGTTGGGACCAAGAGACACATGTCTAAGTGACAACCTGCTTGAGGACTGGGTGCGATCTCTAATCAGAGACCAAACACAGGGTAGATCTTTATGGTATCAGCAAAGTTTGATGCGTTTGAAGCTGAAGCTGTGTCCATACAGACATATCATCTGAAGAGAGCACAGGCATTAGAACATGCTGAAACTCACATTAGGCTGGAATTTGCAGATGCACAATTGCATAATCATTTTCTACAAAGGCAAAGTAGCACCAAAATATCTACTAACTCTTTATTATATTTGAAATATTTTAGGTATCTCTGGTAATATTTCCCTCCTAGGCCAATGCCACAAAAATCAAACCATATGCATAATTTTGTCTTAACTTGTGGCTTTATAAATACTTACATAACAATCATACCCCTATCATAGCAGTATTATACTACATCCAAATTTCACTGTCAGAGGGAGCACAAAAGGCTACCCAATGAAAAATTTTTCCACTAGTCCTTCCCCATCTCCTCCCAAATCCAAACACCCTATGAATTAGCAAGAACTTGAGAATGCTTACCCTGATATGTCAGAATAGATCGCAGTGTCTACGAAGTATGTCGGCAAGAGATGGAAGACCAAGAGCAAGATGGCCTTACACCCTAGCCCTTGTGTCAGCCACAAGTCTAGCACTGCAGGTACTGCGGCCCAGTATGTCCCCAGGAATGGCACTGCTCCAAGGATTGCTGCCAAGGCTAATACAAGAGTAAAAGAAAAGCAAACCAAAGTCACTGGCAAAACAGCAACACAGCAGCAGAACTCAAGCACTGCCTCTCCCTCCCTAAAAACAGCCCATTGCAGCTGGAGGCCCAAGTTTGGTTCCCAGAACCCACATGGCAATCAAAGTCGCTGCTAACTCCTGTTCCAGATCTAACATATTCTGGTCTCTGCAGGCACTGCACAGATGTGGTGGAAATACAGCCACACACATAAAATAAAAATAATCATCTTAAAAAGCCACCCAAAGAGCCAGACAGTAGTGGCTCACACCTTTGATCTCAGCATGCAGAAGGCAGAGGCAGGCAGATCTCTGTGAGTCTGAAGCCAGCCTGGTCTAGAGAGTGAGCTTCAGGACAGCCAGGGTACACAGAGAAATCCTGTTATGAAAAAAAAAAAATCCACCCAAACAAGTAAGAGAACACAAGATTCAGTTTTAGAGGGCTGGTAGAGCTGGTTTAACTGAACTTTCTAGTTAAATAACAGTTCACTATCTGGGGGGAGTGGAGCACCGAGACAGTTTCTCTGTGTGGCCCTGGCTGTCCTGGAACTCACTGTAGATCAGGTCCTTGAACTCAGAGATCCGCCTGCCTCTGCCTCCTCAGTGCTGGGATTAAAGGCATGCACTACCACTGCCCAGCTAACAACTCATTATTTTAAAAGTGGTTATAAATTTTTCTAATGTTCTTTTCTTTTCTAAATATTTTAATTTTTTCTGTGTAATGTTGTTGTGTCTGTGTGTGGGCATCAGATCCCCTGAAACTGAACTTACAGACATCTGTAAACTACTACAAGGGAGCTGGGAATTGAACCCAGGTCCTCTGGAAGAGCAGCCAGTGCTCTTAAGCTAGGAGCCATCTCTCTAGCCCCTAGTTTATGTCATTCTCAAATGTTAAATCTTACTGTCCTATGGCTAAAATCCAGTCCTATAAATATACTTGAAAAACATTCACCAAAATGTCCTGACACTCAAGTCAATCTAAATCTCTGGTTGAATTCTTATTTCTTATTCTTTAATTTGCTACTAAGAAAAGAAAGAAAGGAAGGAAAGAAAAAGGTAACTAATACAACAAAGTCCTGTAAGTAGAGGACTCTACTTCAAGCTTGCTCCGTTCCAAAGAGGGCCAAGTACTCTTCTCTCTTTGGTTCCCTTCAGACTAAGAGCCACGCAGATGTGGTTCTTGTTCTGATCCAACCATTAACCATTAGGGTGACCTTGAAAAACTGGCTTTCATTCATATATCACCTTTCATCAATATATCGCCTACCTCAATAGCTCCGTGTGGTCTCAGGGTGCAGAACAATCAGAGGGTGGGTTACTAGACAGTCAACTAGGAGAAAACATGAATTGTGGAGACAGAAGGAGGGGGAAAGGAATGAAAGTAAAAAAGTTACAGCAGAGGCAAATGTGGGAGGCAGGAAGGGATACTTAAAGAAACAATGACAAAAACAGAAGACAAAAGTGGAGGGGTTCCGAACCAACAAAGAAGAGAACAGCCTGCCCTCTGCCTGTGTGATGCTTGCAGAATGAAGGTGCTGTGCTCAGAACGGATCACAACAGGCACAGCTGCTTCTATTCACCCAGACACATTCAGCCTGCCCCAGGAGGGTAGCCCTCATGGAGCAAAGTTATGAGACAACAAACTGCTCACTGCTTGCCAACTACTTCAATTAATTGGTTGAGTGCCAACTATGTGTCCAATGTTGTGCAAATTGATAGGACATTAACTCATTCAACAAACACTTGCACACGGCTTTCTACGCAAAGGGATCGGTTCCAGATGCTGGGGCTAAACGCCACCAGGCTAGGTATCTTAGCTCTGAGGAAGAAGGCAGCTCTAATGTGAGGTCGACCTTTCCTTAACGAGACAGTCAGGAAATTCAGCATACGGTTGTTACCTGATGGTATGAAGACAATATTGATGCCAAATATGGTGTGGGTCAGCCAGGTGTACAATCCATAGAAGCCAGCCATTTTGAGGGAAGCATCGAATACCCCTCTAGAAGACCCAAAGAGAAAGGAAAAGGTAAATAACCCCAGCATCATATTTCGGTTTAGAAAAATCATCACCTCTGGATCTTTGGTCACGTTATTCCAAATCTGGCAACAACTCATCTCTGAGAACTATTTACTTAGACAGCATTGGAGGCTGTGTACAAGCTGCTGTTTACACAGCTCTCTAATAAGAAGTCATGCAAAACAACACATCCTAAACAGTTTAGTCACTGAAATAACTCTCCAACTTCCAACTCCTGGGGGAGGGGGTGTCAAACTCAGGGCCTTGTGAATGCTACACAAGCACTCAACTGAGCTACAACCCCAAGCCCAACTTTCCAGTTCTTCTTCTTCTTCTTCTTTTTTTTTTCTTCTTTCTTTTTAAGACAGGGTTTCTCTGTGTAGTCCTGGCTGTCCTAGAATCAGTTCTGTAGCCAGGCTGGGGCTGAACCCAGAGGTCTGCTTGCCTCTGCTTCCTGAGTGCTGGGATTAAAGGCTGCCTAGCCAACTTCCTACTTCTTTTTTCTTTTTTGTGGTTTTTCAGGGTTTGTTTTTTGTTGTTGTTTCTCTGTAGCTTTAGTGCCTCTCCTGGAACTCGCTCTTGTATACCAGATTGTCATCAAACTCACAGAGATCCACCTGTCTCTGCCTCCCAAGTGCTGGGATTAAAGGCGTGCACCACCACCGCCCGGCCTGACTTTCTACTTCTGAAGCAGGTATTTCCTAGGTATAAATAGCATGTGTCTAAAGACAGAATTAAGGTCTAAGAAACCCAAGCAACATCCATCCAGTCCACAATCAGAAAGAACAAGTGAGGCTGAGAGTAGGGCTCCATAGTGGAACAATGTTCAGCACACTCCAGGTCCTGGGTTCAAGACCCAGCATGGAAGGAAAAGAGGAGCAAGAGGGGAAGGAGGAGGGCAATGGGGAGAGAGAGTGCCGAAGGCAACAGAAGGAGGAAGGGAGGGCCAAAGAGGAGTGGGGAGCAATCTAACTTATACTCTGGCATTTTTTTTTTCTTCTAACAACATTTTCATACATTTCAACCAAACCTACAAAGTAATTTCTGGTATCAAATAATTCATGTCATCTGGGGAGATGCATGACTATAAACTCTAACCAGGCAGGAACATTCAAGGAGTGAAAATAGGCTGTATATCCTGCAGTTAAATTATCGTATGGTACATGAGGGCGCTCCATTTCCGCTTCTCCATTGGAAGAGAATGGCATTGGAAGAGAAGGCAGCCCTGTGTGGAAAAGACAGCAGCTGCAAATAATCTCAGGGCCTGTAAAGCGCAGAGGCCAGGGCTCTGAAGGAGACGCTGTCACTGCAGGTGAGGGCGACGACAGCACAGGAGACTGCACACAGCAGAAGCAAGGGCAGCTCTGCAGTCTGGGGACTGCCATCCACTGGATGCTGAGACATGGAATTAAAGAACAGCTCCCATCTGCAAAGTCACTGCCACCTTTACCAGTGGCGTCACTCAAGAATGAGTCCTGTGATTCTCAGAACAAAGACTCAGATGCAAATATATCAGAAAGAAGGAGGGGAGACACCCATAGGAAACAAAGAAACTGAAGAGTCCCAAGAAAAAAGAAATGATAGGGAAAGGACAGTGATGTCTGATAAAAAAAAATAAATAAGGTTATAGAAATCTATTTAAGAGCTAACAAACATAAATCTGACCTGTTAGGTTTTAACCAGCTACAGTCAAGCTGGAGGACTCTGGGTAAAACATTCCTCCATAACCTCTCAGCTTGGATCCAGCTCTCCAAGCAGATCCTACACTGCAGTCGTAACTCAGATGTACCCAATAGACAGCCCTCACATGCCCAGAGATAGAGAGGATAGGGCATTTCAATGTTCAATTATTAAAAAGGCTTTCCATAACAGAGAGACAGGTTGGCTCCTGGCAGAAGCCCATTTCCTCCACAGAAAAACTCCCACCTGGAACCAGCTTACAAGTGAAAGCGCCAGCCACGAACCAAACCTGCCTTTCACAGCTGCAGGGCATTGAGCTTAGACAACAGGGCATTGAGGAATTGACTACCTTGAGTTGCTTAGGCCAATGGTAGGCTGTTCTTCTACAAACTCCTAATCCACAAGATCTGAAGCCTGGCAGGCCCCACACTGCCAGCGAAAAGACAGAGATGTTCCCATGAAGCCTCTGCCCTCATCAACCATAGAGGACCCTGGAAGTGGCTGCCTAGGCCAATCAAGTCTCTGTCATTTTTTTAAGCATTAACTCGGATAAAATTTATCCTTCTCAAGGAATCTGATGCAGTTTGATGGCTGTTGAGCTTACCAGTTTAAAAGGGACAAACTCATAGGAGATTTTAGCATAACTTCTTACCATTCTTTTGTTTAAATGAAAGGTGTTTTAAGATACACAGCTTAAGATGTGAGGATCTAAGAATATCCCAAGATATAAGAAAGTGTTTTAAGGTACACAAATGGAACCTATCAGATTTTTTTCTTATTATGCTACTGCTCATAGTCTTAACATTAATCAATAAAGTTCTAATAAGCTATTAACCCAGCTCTGACAGAGAATTAAGAACCTGACAGTGGTATTAAATACCACACCACTGTCATCATAGCCACAAGCTTAAGATTTTAAATTCTCTTTGGTGGCTTCCTACCTATAGATCTCAAAGATACTTTTCATTGTGCAAAAAAACATCTGTCACAGTCATTTCTGGCATAAATAGACTGCCATTTATACAATGTAAATTTCAGTACAGATTATAAACAGCGAAAATACTGTGTCTAAAATTATGTTTTCACAAACTCAAAGAATTCTTATAAGTTCCAAGGAGTCGATTTAGAGTATTTACCTCTAACAGGTCAGATGCACCCCTCCCTTAATTACCAGGTCCTAAGAGCCAAAGCCTCCTACCTTTCCCTGGTCCTGACACCCTTCCCAATCACCAGGACCTAAAGAAAAAAAATATTTTTCTTTCCCTAAACTTAACCTTGTTCCTCTGCTCTGCCAACACCTTGCCAGGTCTAAGAGATGTCAGAGAGTTCCACAGAGCCTAGACAACAGTAAAACAACCAGCCACCCAGGATGTGTTCTCAGGTTCCCTCCAAAATGGCTGAAGCCCAACAGGTCAGCAGGAAGCAGTCTCGAGAACTTGACACCCTCATTCTCTTAACCTGCCATTCCTAACTATTCACCTTTTTAACACAGAGAGAGGAGAAGAAGAAAGAAGAAAGAAGAAAGAAGAAAGAAGAAAGAAGAAAGAAGAAGAAGAAGAAGAAGAAGAAGAAGAAGAAGAAGAGAGGAGGAGGAGGAGGAGGAAGAGGAGGAAGAGGAGGAAGAAGAAGGAAGAAGCAGGAGGAGGAGGAGGAAAGGAATGTTAGCACCCAGGTACACTTTGGCCCTGCCCCTTGAACCTGGCACAGTGCAGTCACCCTTCTACACATGGCAAGCAGTACCCTGACTGTTCTCGTTCTCTCTCTCTCTCTCTCTCTCTCTCTCTCTCTCTCTCTGTGTGTGTGTGTGTATGTGTGTGTGTGTGTGTGTGTGTGTGTGTGTGTATTTTTTCTCTCTATTTCCCCTTCCCTTTACCCTTCTCTCAATAAAGTGTGCACTCAAGCTGGCTGGCTGGCATATGTTTCTCCGCCCACCATGGGAACCACTACAGGTCCCATCTCACACCACATTCCTCACAGCATCACTGAAATATGGTTAAGGAGAGAATAAGGAAAGGGAGGATGTCTGGCCTGGAAAGGGAAGTCAAAAGAACGATGGAAACATCTGGGAGGAGGCTGAAATAGGAGACAAGGCTTAGGAGGCACAAGGCGCAGCAGTCTAATTACAAGAAGGGAAAGGCACCCTCAGTAGGCACGGAGAGGAAGGGAAAATAGGCTGTGTCCTCAGCAGACCACAGGACAACGACCAATCAGCCAAAGAGCGGATGGAATCATTTCTGGGGCAGGAGAAAATCACCTGAGTGTAGCATTATCAGAGACCATGGGGCAGGAGTCAGGGAAGGGAAGAACCACATCAACTGCTAGGGTAAGGGGGGGGGGGCCAGAGAACTTGTTCAGAATTAGAGAGCGGCCAGTGTGAGAAGTGTGGGTGTGGCCATACCTTACAAGTTTTCACAGTAAAATTAAGTTGGCACCAAGGATGCATAGTAAAGTAGCTCACTGAGGCCCCAACACCAGCTCACCCTGAAACAGACCACTTGTGTGACAAGCACAGGCTTCTTCCTTCCACCCTGAACTGGGGTTGTATGCAACAGTCACTACAGCAACTTTGAGCTAATGTGTAGACCCTAAGTATCCGCACTGCACACTGCTCACAGCTCCCAAGCACACTCTGTAACCACTGAGGGACAAGAGAAGCTCCTGCCTGGACAGCATGGCTTGTGACCTGGTACACATGCAATAAAAACAGCCTCGCATCACACTCTAAACATTTACTCAAATCTCCCTTACACCACCCAGAAGACCACAGCCCTGCTCCTATCTTCTGGCTGCCCAAGCTAGAAAATGTTTTCTCTTTTTTAAATACTCAGTTCGTGATAATTTGGTATACTATCATCAACAGGTTATAAGAGTTAACAAGAAGCCTGACCTAATGGGCCAATCAGCTTTATAACTTATAGAGATCTCCATGTGATTTTCCTTGGGACTTTCTGGCTTGTTGGGGTACTGGGTGGGACAGAAACCCCAACAAGCTGGCCCTCATGCTACGCCGTGTGCTTCCTCCTTGTCTGTGGCCCGTGTCACTCTGTGCTCCAGTCAGCATTTCTGAGCTGTGCTTTGGTACTTGACAGCTTGTCAGGGTTCATCTCTTCAAGAGCTGGTTGACTGGTCAGCGTGGTCCTGTCTGTCTCTTCTGGGTTTAGAAAAATGACGAGTTCCTGTTGGTCAGGAATGGGAGCGGGCTCACAGCTGAGACTGTGTGAACGAGGCATGAAACCTACACCTTTAGTATCACTTGGCACAAACGTTCTTGGACTGTTGTGGAAAAACAAAGGTGCAGAGGA